GGGAATTCTCGGCGGTGCAGGTGTGTGATGCTCCCCGTAGGAAGTGGGAACTCTCGGCGGTGCAGGTGTGGGATGCTCCCCGTAGGAAGTGGGAATTCTCGGCGGTGCAGGTGTAGGGTGCTCCCCATAGGAAGTGGGAATTCTCGGCGGTGCAGGTGTGGGATGCTCCCTAAACTGATAGAGAAGGCCTGGGAATGTGCTGTGGGATGCTCCCCATATGGAGAGAAGCCCTGGGGAGGTGCGGTGGGATGCTCTCTATATTGTGGGGGAGAAGCCCTAGGGATGCAGGGGTAGGATGCTCCCCATGTGCAGGGGGACAGCCCTGGGAAGGTGGGTGTAGGATGCTCCCGGAATTGATGGAGAAGCCCTGGGGATGTGCTGTGGGATGCCCTCCGTAAGGGAGGAGGGGAGCGCTGGGGATGCGGGTGTGGGGTGCCCCCCATGTGGAGGGGGGAATTCCTAGGGATGCACTTGTGGGATGCTCCCTGTATTGTGGGGGAGAAGCCCCAGGGATGCAGATGTGGGATGCTCCCCATGCAGAGGGGGCAGTCCTGGAGTTTTGGTGTAGGATGCTCCCCATATGGAGTGGAAATTCTTGAGGATGCAGTTGTGGGATGCTCCCCATGCGGAGGGGCACAGTGCTGGAGATGCATTTTTGGGGTGTTCCCCATAGCAGGGGACCACCCTGAGCAGGAGGCTGGGGTGCCCCATAGGGAGGGGGGTGGCTCTGGGTGCTGAGGTGCCCTGCGAAGATGCACCCAGGAGCAGCCCCAGCACAGCTGAGATGCCCCATATCGATGGGCAGCAGCCCCTGTGGGGACACCCTGGGGTGCCCTGCACAGAGGGGGACAGCCCTGGGGACAGCGATCTGTGATGCCCTGGGGGCTGGCTCGGAGGAAGAGGGTGCCCTGGGGCAGGGGACAGCCCAGGCTGGAGGGGAAGGGATGCTGTGACAGCCCTGTGCTGGTGGCAGGGGCTGCCTGGGCAGTGCCAGCCCTGTGCCCAGCAGTGAGTGGTGGCTTTGTGGTCCCTTGGGCTCCCTGCATGGTGCTGTGGGGGGGCCCTGCACCCCCAGGATGTGTGACATGTGGCACTGGGCTGGGGGAAGAGGTGGTTGTTGAGCTGGGTGGCGCTGCAGCAAAATGAGCCCTCGAGTGGAGCCCGGGCTTTCCGTGGAGCCGGGGCTCTCCCTGGGACTCGCTGGGGCTGGTGTGGCCCTGGCTGCGGGCGACCTTGCTCCCCGCTGCCAGGCATGGGGTTCGTTGCACCCTGGGGACCGTCTCTGGCGCGTGGGGACCGAGCAGCTTGGGCGGCGCTGGCTGCTGCGGGTCGCACTTGTCCCCAGGCCACCTTTGCAGCGGCTCTTTTCTCGGTGGCAGCAGCATCCCCGGAGCAGCGGGGCCAGCGCCGCGTGGCACCTCCCTGGCGCGTGGCCGGCTGCAGGCCGGAGGAGGCCCCGGCTCTGCGTGAATTATTAACAGTGCCGCGGAGTCCACAAGAGAGGAAACGCTGGGGCTGGCGGCGCGCCTGTGTCCTGACAGTGCCCTGTGCCTCCTGGAGGGCACAGCGCCCTGCAAGGGTCCCCGGAGCCGTGGGGAGGCCCAGGGCTCTGCCCTGTCTCACGTCCTCCTGCACTGCCGGTGTCTCAAGCGGGGGACAGGGCAGTTACTGTTGAGAAACATCTATTGGCAGCCCCAGATAAGGGCCCGAGATGCTTCCCCAATAGCAGTTCAGTGATGGGAGAGTGCTGGCCCCTGTGGCAGGAGAAGGGGACCTCTGCACAGTGGAGGCCGTTATCTTGATACCGAATTTATCTCGGCCAACCGCTTCATCTAACCGAAATATAGTTGAGGGCTGATAAGGCAGCTGATTTCTCAGCGTTTTGTGCCTTATGGGCTTTCAAGCTGCAGTTGCCTCGGGGAAGGTCTCATTTTCAGTGCCGAGACCCCAGCCGGGGCTGTGCTCGAGGCTTCAGGAAGTGCGGAGGCCGGGCCGGCTCCCCCAGCCCCACCGTCTGCTCCAGCCGCCTGCGCTCGGGCGGCTGAAAGGGGAAGTTCTGAATCACTCCTTGAAATGGGGCCGCGGCGGCGCCTGCTTCACTCGGCTGCTGCTGCACAAGGGCCCGACCGAGGGGCTCTGCTCCGGCCCTCAATCCCATCCCGCCCTCTCCAGGGAGAGGGATGGAGGCCGGAGGTGCAGCTGGGCTCTGCTTCCCAGCGCCAGCTACAGACAGGACTCTTGTCACCCGCTGCCGCCTCGTCCAACCGCAGCGCGGCCGTGCGGGGAGCGGGGTGACAAACCAGCCCCGGAGCCGGCGCTGCGGCTGCGTCCCCCTGCGGCAGCGGGGCCCGTCTGGCAGCGGCCCACGCTGCGCTC